AATAAGTTTAAATCATAAAATTTGTTGATATATTAATATAAAATAAAAATCTTATTAAATAATTAATTTTTTAAAATAAAATTACAGTTATAAAAAAAAATGCCTTTTCGATTTAAATTTTAATTATTATCTTTATGCTCATATCAATGCAAAAAAGTATTGTAATAAATTATAGAAGTATAATAATAATTAATTAGTATAAGTAATACTTATGTTACTTTAACAAAATGAATGCAATTTTCTATATATCATTTCATTCTACCCTATAATTTATCTATAAAAATTGATGCATATTAACAAACACTTAATTTTAAACTTAAAAAAAATCCGAAATTATTTCTGTAATGCAAAAATGTTATAATTAAAATATGAAAAATAAAATAAGAAAAGAAAAAATTATCCATATAAACCCATATATAGTACTTTAAAAGAAATGACGTAAATATCCGTGCATTTACTTACGCAAATATCCGTGTACTTACTTAAGTATCTCAAAAAAAAAGAAAAGTAATAACTTAGATATTCGTATACTTATTTAATCATTTCAAAAAAGAAAGGAAGAATGACATGGATAGGCATGCACTTATTAATTTACTTAAACTTAAATTCAATATTTCATTTATTCCTTAACAATAGAACAAGCATTTTTATTTCTTAGATATAATTTTTAAAATTGCTCTTTTCAATAAATTAAATTCAAAAATACAAAAAATTCTACCAAATAATTTTTGTTTTCTATTTCATTAATTAATTAATTAATTTATTTATTTATTGATAATTAATTCATACCTATGATCTTCTTTAGTAACTTGTTGTTGAATGGGAGAAGAAACAATTGTTGATGGTGAGAATAAATTTGTTGACATCGGAGATGATGTCGTTGAATTGAAATAATGTTCAGATAATGAAGCAGTAGTAGCTGTTGTTGTAGTAGCAGTAGTAGTAGTGATAAGAGTAGTGATAGGAGTAGTGATAATATTTGCTGATAAGGAATTAATTGGTAGTGGTGGCAAACGTCGATGAACAACTGATACTGTTGATAATGGTGAATGAGTGAGAAATTTTCCAGGTAATACTAAAATTATTTATTACCATAAATTTTAATAAAATTTTAAAATAAATTTGATAAAAAGAAAAATAAAAAAAAAACGAAAAATTTTTGGAATAAATTTCTTATCAATTAGTGATGAATAAAATTAAATCACTATCAGTTATGATAATTGCTGACAAATTTTAATTGAATTAAACTAATAAATATGTGAAATGAAAAAAATTTTCGTAACAATAATAATAATAGTTTTTAATCTTTAATTCAATTGATTTTTTTTAATTTTAAAAATTTGCATATATTGAAAAAAAACATATAATAATAATTAAAAGAGAAATAATTATGAGAGATTTAAATAGTCGATATTCTAATTAATTATCATTTTATCATTAATCTATATGTTAATATTACAATTTCATTTATAATTAAAATGAATTTGAATTTCGAATAATTTCAATTTATTATTTACATCATTAACTTTTTACCAAAAAAAAAAACAATAATAAAAAGGTTAAATTAAAATGAAATATTGAAATTGGAAATGATGTATTAACTTATAAATGAAACTTTCTTTACTTTAATTAAACTTTTAATTAATGAAATAAACATACACATACACACACAGACACACACACACATACACACACACACACACACAGACACACACACACACAGACACACACACACATACATACATACACATTGAATTGAAATGAATTATGATGAGTTATTTTAAACGATAATATGAATGAATTTGATTTATAACTATTGTTTTGGTTTATTTTCACATAAAAGCGCAAATTGATTATTTTTATTTAGTTATTCTAGAATTTTCTTCTATTTTGTATTATTAAATTATAGATGGCGAATTTATTTCAAATTATAAAAAATAGAAAATAGTTAAATTTAAAATTAAAAAAACGAAAAAGGAAAGAAAAAGAAAAAAGAAAAGTTGAAGGAATAGAACAATCAATGAAAAAAAAAAACAAAAATGAATAGTAAAATTCCAGAAAGAATCAGAAAGAGTCTTAGTAACACTGAAAAAAAGGGATAATAATAAATAAATTATATAATTAAAAGTGAATAAATCAAACATTCATTGTAAAAATGAATGTAATTAAAATTTAAAATTAAAATTTTGTATAATAAAAAAAAATTTGATGATAACAGTTATAATAATAATATATCTTTTTCATAGATGAAACGAATTTCAAATGATAAATTATTCCGTTAAAAAAAATTTTAGTATTAATATAAAAAAAAAAAATGTAAAAAAGAGAATAAAACTAATAACATTAGTTTAATAAAAAATTATATTATATTAGTTAAAAATTGAAAAAATAAAAATGAAAAATAAGGATAAGAATGCTAACTGATAGTGCTTGACAATTCTAATAATGGTGAAAATATCGAGTATTGATGATATTAAAATGATAACAATTATAATTGTCAAATAACTATTACTAATAAATAACATTAATGATAATAATAACAATAATAATAATAATAATAATAATAATATTAATGAATACTCATAAACTGCATTTTAAAAAAAGAAGAAACAATTGTGACACATTAGGATGAAATGTCACATATAGCGCTAAACAAGAAGAAATATTTGACTGTAATTGCTAATATAACAAATAATTATCACTTTTTGAAATGATAATGATAACATATCAAAAGGAAAAATTTACACTTAACAAAGCATTGTTTATTAAAATTCAAAGAAAAAAAAAGTTATAAGCAAAAAAAAAAAAAGAAAAAAACGGAAGTAAAACGAAATAAATGAAATTGATAAAATGAAAAATTCGAGAATGAATGAACGAGAAATGAGATAGACACTGATGAGACATTTATTTTATTTGCTAAATAAAATGAATCAATAAAAAAAAGTGCTATGATAGTTTAGTTTGAAGCATAAGACTTAGTCTTAAGCATCGATTGCTTTTAAGCCTAGCTAACATTTCATTTAAACATTCCTCAAAATATATTAAAAGAAAAAAAAACAAAGAAGAAGAAGAAGAAGGGAGAGAATAAATTGTCTTTCAAATTTATTTATTCCTTCATTTTCCCTTTTTTTATCTTCCCTCTCTTTCTCTCTCTCTCTCTCTCCCTTTCTCTTTCCCTCTGTTATAATATTTTATTAATTTATTGTTAGCAATTTGAGTTATACTGCAAAAAAAAGTGAGAATCTCATAAAATTATTATATTTTCTTTTATATAAATCCATTCAATCTTAAATAAAATTAAGTATTTTAATGATTGAATACTGATTTTAAAAGGAAAAGAAAAAGTTTTAATAATAATAATCGAAATTAATGACAAAATAATCAAACAATTATACTAATTTAAAAAACTAATTTAAAAAATTATACATTTATTGATTTATATATTATTGATTTACAAATAATTTACATAAAATATACTAACTTATAAAATTTTCAAATAATTTAATCATCAAAATCATATACATATTTTATAAATTTATAAAACGTTGTAAATAATCGATAACAAATAATAACAATAATAATATTAATAGTAATAATAATAACAATATTAATAGTAATAATAATAATAATTTCTAAACATACAATTCTAACTATAAAAGTTATTGCTATTATGTTTACACAAATTTTTAAAAATTTGAATATATGCTAATGCTTCTAACATTTAACATTTGTCTGGTTGTCATACATTTGAAATTGATAAATTATTCCATCAAAGAATTTTGTGACAAACAATAAATCATTGAAATAGCAATTATTAAAGTAATAGTTATTTCAATGATAGCAGTAATAGTAATAATAATATGATTACCACGGGATTTAGGCAAATATTTTAGCATATGGTAAAATATTAGTTAAATATAAAATATTGGTTATATATATAGTAAAAATACTGTTAGCTAATTAATATTGGAATATTAGTTAGCTAAAAAAAATTACCCACGAAAATAGCATTACCTAAAGTTAAATATATAAAATATAAAATTTAAAAGCAAGGAAAAAACAAAAAAAAAAGACGAAGGAAGAGAATTTACTTGTGAGCTATGTTTTATTAAATTACAAAATTTTAAATTAGCCAAAAAAAATTATAACTTATCAGACTAATTAACTTAGATAAAATATTAGTTATCAAAAATAACTAATTTGATTAATTAAGTTTAGAAGGATTTAAAGTATGTTTCATTCAATTCTTGGCATAAAAAAAGGTTTATTATTGATAAATTAAGAATAAAATTAGATAAAATGAAATTATTAATAATTTTTGAAAGTTTATTAATTAGCTCAATTAATTTTGAAAAGATAAAATATTTTATTATCAAAAAAAAAGGAAAATAAAGCGATAATTTTTGCGCTAATTTATCTTTTTCAAAATGATAAATCTGAAAAATTAGCTAATTTCTAATTTCTCGAAACAACAATGTTACTTAATTTACTAAGAGAAAAAAGCTTTTCTCAAAGTTTAATTCTCAAATTCACCTGATCTCATCAGTTTTATGCTAATTAGCACATTTAGTTTAAATTAATTAATCATTTGCTACTAATTAGTAAAATTAACAATTATTATTTCGAGTAACTGATAATGATAGTGAATAAATTGTAAACTTTTGATAATGATTGAATAAAAAAATAAACAAAGAGTAAACTATCACGAAAAGATGGAAGGAAATAAATTGACTTTTGAATTTGTGACCATTTCAGTGAGAATAATAATAAGTTTTTAAGTAGATAAAAGGGCAAAGAGAGAGAGAGGGACAGATATATAAAGGGAGAGAGGGAAAAAAATCCTTGTAAATTAAGATTATTTAATAATCTTTAATGATCTTAGAAAGTTATATCTATTTAATTATCTATCTTTTCTATTTAATGAAGGATAAATTATTCCACTTTTATTAAATTTAAGTTTCAAAAAAAAAAATTAGCACAATTATTTATTTTTTAATTAATTAAGTAAGCATACCATCAACAGGTAATGAAGCTGGTAAGCATTGATTATTCAATGCGATCGCTTCCATTGTGGAATTTGTTAAATTATCACTAAAATATAAAATTAAATTAATAAAATATTTTTTTTTATCGAAAAATTTTTTGTATTTTTTCAGAGAAAAAAAATCATTTTGGAATTATTAAATTAATATAAAATAAAACGTCGAATTTGCGAAAAAAAATAATTGTTATCTTTTCATCTAATAATTTATTTTTCATGCAATTTTTTCCTTTTTTGCTTGTTTATTTTAAAAAATTTTATTATCTAATTAAAAAAAAAAATTAAACAAAAATAAAAATAAATAAGTAAACTTACGATTTTGGATAAATTGTTGTCGAAGTTTGTTGTGTGTTAATTATTTCACTAATATTTGATGTTTCCGATGTTTTTTGAATCCAAACTCGAGCAATTTCATTTATTTGTTGAGCATATTCACAGCTATCATCCCATAAAGTTACTGTTGAATTCATTATTTGTTCATCAATTTCTATTAAATAAACAATAACAATAAGAAAAAAAAAATAATTTAACTCAATTAGTTATAACTTTTTTTAATCTTTCTTTTCCTCTTTATTTTTGTAAAAATTTAATTCCATTTGATTTAATAATTACTTGTACTTATTAATATCACATGATTATGTATTTAAATTTCAATTAATTTATTTTCAGAAAATTATTTCAATACTATCATTACTCATATTTACTTTTAAATACTATTACTTTAAAAAAAAAAAAAACTCAACCTGGTTTATACGTTTCAATAACTGGATAAACATTTTTATCAATATTTGATAGTAATTTTGTAGCATCATTATGAATTGTCTTTTTAATATCAAATGTAAATTCATAAAAATTCGGTAATTTGCTTCTTTGAACCGGAAGAATCTGATCCGTAAATGTGTCATCATCATCATCATCAAGATTATCATGATCATTATCATTGTCATCATTAAAATCATCAATAACATCAATCTCATTGTCATTATTATCACTATCACTTTTAATACTTTCATCTGATTCATACTCGAGATCATGTTTATCACTCATATTTGTATAGTAGATTGCATGCTGATTGAAATCTGATAAATCTCGAATATCAGCATAATAGTGCTCTTTATCAGTAGTAGTAATCATTTTTGTTATGAATAAATATCTTTCTTTCTCCAAATCGATCAATGTTTCTGGTAATTGATCCAAAATATTTAATGAATATGATCTGCGTTGCATTGGATCATTCAAAGTAGTATGTTGATATTTTGACTGATATGATAAGGATTCATCATCATTTAAATAATCCATTTGATTCGTCACTTTTATCATTTCCTCATTAGCGGTTAATTTCTGGAGAACAAAAAAAAAAGGTAAAATTTCAAAAGTTCAACGAATATTATAAAACATTTGTAATAATTAATTATCATTTCATTGATAACATTTCACTGATAATTGCTTATTTTAATTTATATATTATTGATCTAATAACAAATATGAATTATAGTAATTATTATTTCGTTGAAAAATATGAAAAATGATACCGTAACTTGAGCATAAATTTCGTTACGTGAATGATTATCAGTGCTACGTGTTTCATCTAATGGTACGTCATCCACGCATCGAATCCATTCGTCATCTGACGTATCACTTTCACTATTCATTGTCATCATTTGCTTTTTCAATGTATCTGGCTTAGAAGCATATTTACGACAATCTGGTGAAGAACATCTATAAGAATAATTTTGATCATTTTTATTATTAAAATTATAATTTAAATAGCAAAAAAAAAAAAATTGTATTAAATTTCAAAAAAGAAATGAAAATGTTAATAATCAATGCTAATTGCTTTTTTTTTTATTTCTAATATAATACATATATAAAATATATTATAATATCATTAATGAAAAAGTTTATAATCATTTCAAAATAAATTATAATCATTTTGTATAACACAATCCACAATATTAACTATCATTTTTCAATTATTTTAATTTAAAAAAAAAATTCCACTAAAGCTTCTAAATTTTATTTTCTTAAATTTATTTAGTAATGCAAAAGTTTAAATAACTTTAAATAAAATAAAATCATAGGTGTAGTAAATTAAATAAAATCACATAAGAAAATGTAAGAGTAGCATAAGTAAGTTAAAATGCAAAGAATAAAGTAACGTGAAAAGAATAAAAGTAACGTGTGTATAGCGTGTTTTCTCCTTTCCTTTTTGTTTTTTTTTTTTTTTTTTGAAATTTGATAGTAAATTTTAACAAACCTATTATAATGATTTTGTATAACACAATCCACGTATGACGTAATCATCTGATCATGACAGCTAATACTTTGACGCATAACTATTCCGGAATGATCCATTACTGACGGTTTTCTTGTAATCCAACCCATTTCCGTTTCCCTATTAAAAAAAGAAGTAAAAAAAAAAAGAATTTAACTAATTAATATCAAAATTTCTATTTTAAACAATGCTAAGATATTAATTATAAAAATGAATAAAATTAAAAATATGAATAATACTTAAATAAATTGTATATAATTTTTGCTTATTTTTTTTAAAAAAAAAAAAAAGAAAGAAAATAATAATTGTATAAATAGAAGTGAATGGGATTAATTATTTGAAAAAAGAAAGATTAAAATGATCATTTTAAATCAAATAATTAAAATTAAATGATCATTTATTAAACAAATTAAAAAGCAAAACACTTAAATAAATTTTTGCTTTATTATTTCAAAAAAAAAAAAAAAAATGGAAATTAACCATAAATGTAAATTTCCAAGTGATTTTGATATTTTTGTAATTGTTGATGTTATATTATATTTTTCATTTAATTGTCTTTCAGTTTCAGAATTTTCCCCGAAAGTTTCTTTAGCAAAATTTAGAAGAGCTTCGGGTGTCCATTTGTTGACAGTTTCATTCATTTCTGTTAATTCATCAACAAAATTTATTTCCTCTTCTCTGTAAAGAAAAGAAATTATATTAATTTATTTAACACTTACATTTTGCATTAATTGTAAATTTTAATTTAAAAAGAAATGGAAAAAAAAGGACAAAAAAGTAAAAAGTTGATGGATTTAAAATTTAAATTTAGAAAAAACACATATTTATACTTTTAAGATTAAATTAGATAAAATTCAATTTAAAAAAAAAAGAAAAACAAAAAATAATATTAAGAAAAATTTCGAAAAAAAAATTTAATTGATAGGGTTTAGAATTTAAATGAAAAATTACGCTTTTAACAGGTAAATTTGATAAAATTCAATTTTTCTTTTTTTTTTTTAATTTTTTTAATTGAAAAAAAAAACAAAAAGAATAATAGAAAGAAAAAACTTTACTGATGTGGTGGTGATGGACTAGCATCATACATACAAAGTGAGTCATTTTCAGAGATTACTCGTGGACATGTCACCATCGCATTTAATGGTAAATTTAAATGTGTTAAATTATTATTAACTCCAGTTGGTCCAGTATTAAAATCCAAAATACTTGTACGCATTGCTTCATCATACTCATCATATAAATTAGCACTAAAGACAATAATTAATTAACTAATTAATTAATCATTACCATTAACTAATGCTAACATATTTCATTTTGAATTCTTTTTGCTTCTTTGTTTTCATATAATTAATTAATTACTTTAGAAAAAGAAAAGGAAAAGTTTTTGTTTGTTCAAATTTCTCAAAAAAAAAAAAAAAAATGAATAAAATAAAATAAATTTAAGAAGTAACCAATGCAAAGTTTGTTGTTCACATTTTTCATTTGCTAAATTTTCATCAAATTTAAAACAAGCATCTTCTTGTGAACTTGATAATTCCACAGATGACTAAAGATTAATTTTATTAAATGCAAAAAAAATTTGTCAAATTTTTTTATGAAATAAACAATTTTAAGATAAACACAGATTCTTTAATGTTTTAACCTTTAACCCTCAGTAAGTTATACCTGTTCTTTTTCAATCCCCTAATCTATTTCAAATTCCAATATATTTAATTCTTTTTTTTTCCAAAAAAGGAAGGAAAAAAAATTATTCACAAATATTAATTTAACATCATAAACATTTATTAAATTAATCATTACCATTCATACTTATTGCTTTAAATAATTTCAAAAAAAAAAATGACCAATTAAAATAACAAATATATTTTTTTCAAAAAAAAGATTTTATAAATTACAAATTAAAAAAATGCAAATTTTTTTAAACAAAAAAAAAAAGAAAAGACTACTATATTAATGTTAATAAATAAATGATAATTGAGAGAAAAAAAAAACGAAATAAATTTAAAAAAATAAATTAAAAAAATTTATAATTGCAATACCTGTCGCTCATTGTCAACAATAAATTCTGGTGCTGACCAGCAACAGGTAAATGGTGATGATCTTGCTTCCAAATCATCATCACTTTCAAAATTTATTCCATATTTGAAATTATTTGCTGTTGTTGACCAATTATCGCTTACATTTGTATTTGATTTTGTCTAAAATTTTTTATCATTAATAAAAATTTTAAAATTATATTAAAAATAATTTCAAACATTGATACAATATTAAAAATTAATTAAATGCAATTTTAATCATTGATATGATTTTTAAAAAAAAGGAAAAAATTAATTGCTTTTTTTCAATAGCAACAAAAAAAAAAGAGAAAAATCATTACAAGCAAATAAATTGATTTGTTAATTTTTCATTTAAATTTTTTCCAAAGGGAAAAAAAAATGACAGAAAGAAAAATTTTAATATTTAGGAAAAAAAATTAACAAAGAAGAGAAAAAAATGTTAAATGTCTAAAAAAGAAATTAGAAAATTATTGAATTATTGTAAGGGTAAAATAAAAATTAAATATTAGCTATAAAATGAGTCAATTAAATATTAATAAAAGAAAGAAATATGAATAAAACTGCAAAAGTTTAAATTATCATTTTGCTATTTTTTCTTTTTATTTACCTTAGCTAATTAATAATAATTTAAATAATCATAAACAAATAAAAATTTTATTTGCTAATAAATTTTATTATTAGTCACTTTCAAAGATAATTCAATATGTGAAATAAATTAGTGAAACTGTTTATGAGTATTACATTAAATATATTATAATTACACTATATTAATATTTTTTACCAATTATATTAAATTTAAATATTTGTGTTTACTAATTATTTAATAACTATATTAAATTTAAATAATATTTACTATTTATATTATTTTTTTACTAATTATATTTATTAATTATATTAAATTAAAATAATATTTACTAATTATATTAAATTTAAACATTTGTGTTTACTAATTGTTTAATAACTATATTAAATTTAAATAATATTTACTAATTATATTATATTTGCTTTATATATATTTTTACTAATTATATTTATTAATTATATTAAATTTAAATAATATTTGCTAATTATATTATCTTTTTTCACTAATTATATTTACTAGTTACATTAAATTTAAATATTTGTGCTTACTAATTACTTAATAACTACATTAGATTTAAATAATATTTGCTAATTATATTATCTTTTTTCACTAATTATATTATATTTAAACATTTGTGTATGATCTAATTATAATATGCCTAATTTATGAAAATTATTTACTAATTATATAAAAAAATTAACCTTAAATATTGCTGTCCGATAATTATTTCGTGAAAAATATGGTGCAGAAGATGCGGTAGTTTCATCGTCACTTACTGATTGCATTTTAATAAAATCATCATTCAAACATTTACCATTATGCATATTTGTAATAAATGTATTATTTGCATAAATTTTTTCATCTGCAAAAAAAAAAGGAAAAAATTTTTAAATTATTTTATTCAAATATAAATATGAAAATAATAGAAGGAATTTTTTTTTCTGTTTTAATTTTTCTCAAATTTAATTTTCTTAATTTGTTTTGCTAATTTTTGCTTTTTTCTCGATTAATTTTTGTTGAATTCATAATTTCCTTTTCTCTCTTTTTAATATTACTAATATATAGTATGAATAGTAGTATGTAATTTGATTTTTTTTAATAACTAAAAAATTATTTAAAAAAAAAAAATTAA